CTCACCCTTTCTCTGTTCCCATGATGCTCTGGGAGTCACCGTCAGCCAATGACAGTTGGGCTGTGAGCGCCCCCTGAGGACACAACCGTAAAATCATTGATTTTCTTCAATGGACGTACACTTTAGGACAGTGTCTCACCCACTCACCCTCACCTCACCCACTCACCCTCACCCACTCACCCTCGCCTCACCCACTCATAAAACCATGACTAACGACCTTGAACCTTGAAGACTCGGCCTTTAAAACAGAGCTGATGAAGTGGTTTCTATGGAAACCTGGACTTTTGTCCCTGGTGTTTTTGTGCCTCAGGTCGAGCGACAGGAAGTGATGTTTACTGTAACAGGAAGTTGATGGATCAGAGTCCTGTTCTGGTTGGATTATCTGGATTATCCAGGCTAGACTGTAAAGATAGCTCACTGTTAGCTCACTGTTAGCTCACTGTTAGCTCACTGTTAGCTCACTGTTGTGGCTCTTAGCCAACTATCTATTTTTAGACTAGCTAACCTTTAGCTATCTGTCATTTGTAGCTCTTTCTAGATTACCTTTATACTTTTCTTGCTAACCTTTAGTCATAGCCATGTAGGTTAACATTTGGCTAAATGTTAGCCACTCTTAGCTATTTTGCTGTGTTCTAATTTACTTGCAGGTCTTCCTAGCGTGGTGTAACTGTTGTTAGTTTTCTTTCTGACAATTTACTAGCACAAGATTGGAAAGCATGTATTTTGGTTAACAGCTCTTAGCAGTTAGCAGTTAGCAGTTAGCACTTCATCTCTCTTCAGGGTCAGACTCAGGGACTTCTGTCAATTTTTAAACTTAGTCACAAGATGCTCATCAGCACCTTCTGCTGACGTCTTCAGGTTTTTACAGCAGCCTCATAAACTTTACTGTGGACACACACACACACACACACACACACACACACAGTCAGTCAAATAAACTTTAACGACAAACCTTTGGCCTCATTAGCATTTCCTTGTCTTTCTCATGTCTTTAAACTTCGTTTTATTCTCTTTCGCTTCAGCTACGTCGGCGCTAAACTGAAAAAGAACTCATTTAAAACAAAAAAACAATGTCACTGTTTTTTGCTTCTCTTCATTCATTCTCATGCTAGTTCTTTAGCTAATTTGAGCTACTGTTGTGCTAACCGTTAGCTGTTTCTTGGCTTGTGCTAACGGTGTAGGCTCAGGTCCAGTCGGATTCCTCTGACCTCATCTTCTCTTTTCCAGAACTTGGCAGCGCAGCCATGGAGGACGGGAAGCCCGTGTGGGCGCCTCACCCCACAGATGGGTTCCAGCTGGGAACCATCGTGGACATCGGCGCCGATAGCCTGACCATCGAACCTCTGAAACAGAAGGGCAAGGTGAGACCACAGACTGTCCCTGTCCACGTAGATCTGGGTGAGGTAGAGTTCAGGACATAGATCTGGGTGAGGCAGAGTTCAGGACGTAGATCTGGGTGAGGCAGAGTTCAGGACGTAGATCTGGGTGAGGCAGAGTTCAGGACGGACGTAGATCTGGGTGAGCGTAGATGTGGGTGAGGTAGAGTTCAGGACGTAGATCTGGGTGAGGTAGAGTTCAGGACGTAGATCTGGGTGAGGTAGAGAAGACTGAAATGTTTGTTTTTTTTCTTCTTTGTCAGACTTTTCTGGCTCCCATCAACCAGGTGTTTCCTGCTAAAGACGACGTCAACAAACACGTGGAGGACAACTGTACGTCTGTTTGTTTATTAGCTGTTTTTTCAGGAACTTTTGTTTTTATTTCTAAACGAAAGAAGAAAAGTTTCACATTATATTCAACAGTTAGCGCCCCCTAGCTTCTAAAACCAGCATGTATATGTATATGAATGATCATTTCAGTGGATGGTTTTTAGTCATTAGCTTTTTAGAAACGACTTCCTGTTCTATATATAAACATAAAGCTAATGTTAGTAGCATTAGTAGCTAGTGATTTAGATTTATCAGAACTCTGCTACATGTCCAGGGTAGTGTGATCAGTAGGGGGCGCTCTCTGTCCAGTGGTAAAAAGTGTTTTTTCTCTTCAGGTTCTTTGATGTACCTGAACGAAGCCACGCTGCTCAACAACGTCCGTGTGCGATACAGCAAAGAAAAAATCTACGTGAGTTTCTGCGTTTGCTAAAATGAAGGTTTTAGTTACTAGTTCTAAGCAGTACTCAGCCAGGTGGTGGCGCTGTCGTTTTTACTAACGTTAAGTTTTTTCTCAGCTAACGTTGTAAAACCGCGGCTAATGTTTCGCTACGTTTCCGTTTTCACCTCCATGTCAGTCATCCATGAGCTAACAGCTAGTTATCTTTTGTGCTAGCTCACTGTGCTAGCTCACTGTGCTAGCCCACTGTGCTAGCCCACTGTGCTAACTTTATGCTCCTCTTCCAGACCTTCGTGGCCAACATCCTGATTGCTGTGAATCCGTACTACGACATTCCAAAGCTTTACTCCGCGGAGACCATCCAACAGTACCGGGGTCGCTCCCTGGGGACGCTGCCGCCGCACGTCTACGCCATCGGTGGGTTCTCAGGCCGTCGGGCTGAGGGTTGAGGGTTTGTTTCCTAAGTCTGACGCTGGCGTTTGTTGTGTTGCAGCTGACAAAGCCTTCAGAGACATGAAGGTCCTGAAGATGAGTCAGTCCATCATCGTGTCTGGAGAATCTGGAGCCGGGAAAACGGAGAACACCAAGTTTGTCCTGCGGTCCGTGAGAGCCGGGGCTGATGGGAGATGTTTACCAATATACTAAAATGGCCGAAAGTTAGCCAGAAAAGCGAACATGCTAACAAGCAAAGTTACATTTTTTTTAAGGATAAAAGGCATCACAAGGCTAAAGCTAACAGCGACGTGTACTTTTTCAGATACTTGACGACCTCGTACGGAACGGGTCAGGACATCGACGAGAGAATCGTAGAAGGTACGAGACGACAGTATGTCTGTTGAGCCACCGGGGGGCACTAATTTAAATTTGGATCTGTCTCTCCACAGCCAACCCCCTACTGGAGGCATTTGGAAATGCCAAAACTGTTCGGAACAACAACAGCAGCCGTTTTGGGAAGTTTGTGGAAATTCACTTCAACCAGAAGGTTGGTGTTTACCTCAGCTCTCCACCAGGGGCTGGTTAGCCTTGAAGGTGCTTGAGTTCCAAAGTGTTTTCAAAAGCCAGCTGGTGAATGGATACAGTTTTGGAGGCTAGCTCTGAGCTAAAGGAGCTAAACCGCTAACAAGCTAAATATGAGAATTAGCATGAACTGAGCTAACGGTTCTCCAAGGGACTGAGAGCTGAAGATAGAACCGTCATTAAAGGAGCGC